CTCACCATACCTATAGTAGGCAAGTTGCTGCGTACAATTAGGAAACTCCCATTTATGGTATCTCAAAATCAAAATTATGAAAAAAATCTGTTGATTAACAGAGTACAACTCTTTTTAAAAACTCTAATTTCACGTGCTATTTTCAGGTCATTATTCAGGTAGAAAGAGAAAACTGAATTACTATTTATGGCCTAACAGAGCCAAAACAAGTTACAATCCACATTTAAAACATTCTCAAATGGCACGTATTTTATAAAACAATAATTGAAAAATATCAAAGTAGAACCAAATAGCTCCTATTTCAGTTTGTAGACTCTGCAATATGTAGTTTCAAAAATGCATTAACAACAATCTGGCTCCTTTTCTCCAGGCACACACATGAGATATCATTTGGCATATGGGAGTTATTCCCATAAAGATGAGTCAGATAACAAGCAAATGATCATTACCTCACATTATGTGAAATGGAAAAAAGCCATTAATGCAGTATTAAGGTCATAAATTCACACACTCAGAAGCCATCAAAATAAAACATTAGCTCTCAAAGCATTATCTTCTTATCCTTGCTGCCACATTAACTGTACACACTAAAAACTCTGACAAATATTATAATTTGTATAAAATACAGAAGGGTAAAGCTTCCCATTTTCATGTTAATTTGTAGATTTCTTGGTTTACTTACTGGCTAGGAGCAGGTGTCTAATGTCAAAGCTCAAAAGAACCCTGTATATCTGAATCACTCCAACACTCTAAGCATGCTCCTCAGAAACCTATCCCAGGCCCCCCAAGCCCAGTGAAAGGCTGCACCAGAAAAAAAGGCAGTTGAACACCCACCAAATTATTCTTCTGGGAACTCCTTGACCTTTACACGTTATTTAAGCAAGGCCTGGCCTACTCTAATAAGCACTGGTGAGGAAACTACAGAAAGTATATTCAAAAAGGGCTAGAGCCCCAAGCTTTAGATATTCACACTTAAATACTACCTCCCCTTCTATTATTCCCAAAAGGGTTAGACAAACAGGTCTTCTTATCCACCCTTATTGCTCTATTCATGCCATGTATACACATGTATACATAAGGAATAAAAAATACTAATGCCATGATAAGTATCCACAAATTTATATATGGATCATTATAATATGTATAATATAGACAGTGTTATATATAATAAATATATATATACACTCTTGTGAATTTCTAAAGTTAAACAAGAAACAGGCAAACAAACTTTGTTGGTATATTCGTTCATCCATAAAAACCATTTGAATAGTTCCCAAGTGCTATTAACCACTTGATAGGGTCAAAAATTGTGTGCCTACAGTATGTCAGGCACCGTGCTAAGCACGAAAAAAAAAAATGTATGTTGAGTAAGATATGAACCCTGCTGTCAAATAATTTACAAACTAACTGGGAATCCAACAAGTAAATCAACAATTACAAAAGGAAATCAGGCAAGGCGCAGTGACTCAAAGCCTGTAATCCCAGCACTTTGGGAGGCCGAGGATGGTGGCTCACCTGAGGTCAGGAGTTCGAGACCAGCCTGGCCAACATAGTAAAACCCCATCTCTACTAAAAATACAAAAAATTGCCAGGTGTGATGGCACGCACCTGTAATCCCAGCAACTTCAGGAGGCTGAGGCAGGAGAATCATATGAACCCGGGAGGCAGAGGTTACAGTGAGCCGAGATCATACCACTGCACCCCAGCCTGCACAACAGAGCAAGACTTCGTCTCAAAAAATATATAAAAATTAAATAAATAAAAAAGGAAAGCAGACTAGGTAAGTGTTGTGATATAGGCACAAGCAACTAGTTGGGAAACATGAAGATGTACAAATGGTGGGAACAAATACAGGGAGAAGAGCTGATGCTTGATCTAAAACATACGAGACTAATTAATTCAATATAAAGGTAGGAGCTTCCGAGAAAAGGAACCATCTGTACGTGATGGCATGAAGACATGAAGAACACAATGGAGTTAGAAAATCGCACACTGTTTAGTGCTAGAACGTAAGACATATGGCAGGGAGTTCTCACAGGATAGACAGGCTGATTGTGAAAAGTCTTTTATCGTAAATTAGAAAAACTGAACTGTATTCCACTCAATAGCAAACAACTAACAGATTTCAGGCAGAATCATAGTAACAGTAATTATAACAACAGCTTAACATCTCCTGAGTACTCATGGGTGTCAGACACTGGCGAGAGTTTTACACTCATTAATTCATCTAATTTTCCCACAACTCAATTTCATAAAATTATGCCCATTTTACAGATAATGAAACTGGGGCTCAGAGAGGTAAAGTAACTTGCCCAAGGTTTCTAGAAATCTAGAAAGCAGTTAAGTCAGATGTGAATGGTTACCTGCTAGAATAGTGTTTTTTAAATGATCAATCTGTCAAGGAGTATGAAGTGTGGATTACTAAAGGGCATACAGAAGAAAACTTTGTCAGCAGACTGTTGTAAGACACCAAGCAAAAAATGTGAAGAGCCTGAACTAAGGCTGTGATGGTGAAAGTACACAAGTGGAATAAAAGAGCTATTTAAAAAGGCTGAGCACAGTGGCTCACGCCTGTAATGTCAGCACTTCGGGAGGCCAAGGTGGGAGGATCACTTGAGCCCATGAGTGCACCAGGCTGGGCAACATGGCAAACCCCTGTATCTATCAAAAATACAAAAAATTAGCTGGGCATGGTGACATGGACCTGTAGCCCCAGCCACCTGGGAAACTTAGATGGGAGGATCACCTGAGCCCAGGAGGTTGAGGCTGCAGTGAGCCATGATCGTGCCACTGAACTCCAGCCTGAGCGAAAGACTGAGACCCTGTCTCAAAAAGATAAATAAATAAATAAAATTACTATATAAATAATAAACAGGCTCCCAGGGCTTGGTAAAGTTAAGCTGAAAGTGATTCTTCTCCATCATGGCACTTAGTACAATTACAATGATTATCCGTTCTCTCTCTCTTAAAGGCTGGGCACAGTGGCTCACACCTATAATCCCAGCACTTTGGGAGGCTGAGGCAGGAGAACTGCTTGAGCCCAGGAGTTTGAGGCTAGCCTGGGCAACAAGGCAAGAACTTCGTCTCTACAAAAAAATTTAAAAATAATAAAAAGTTAGCCAGGTGTACTGGTGCGTGCCTGCGGTCTCAGCTACTCAGGAGGCTGAGGCAGGAAGATCGCTTCAGCCCACAAGGTCAGGCTGCAGTGAACCATGATCACACCACTGCCCTCCAGCCTGGCAAGAGAGTGAGGCCCTGTTGCCAGGCCCTATCTCAAAAAATAAAAAAAATTTAAAAAAATTAAAAATAACAGTATTTCCATGAGGGAGTGGGGGAATCTTCTGTATTACCATATTATAGTTCTGAAAACTACCAGTGCCTCCCACCTCCTTGCTCTCTATTGATGTCAAATATATATTTTATCCTAATACTGTTTTAAGATAAAATATTTATACTGCTTTATTTCTATTACACAAGAAAATCATATAAAGCCCTAAACACAGTGCCAGGCATACAGTAAGAACACTATAAATGTTTGTACATAAATGAACACAATGACCATGATTACCATCATTATACTTCCTACAACAATTACACTGTTAAACTAACACAAGATCAGACAGATGGAACTGCAGGTCCTGTAAATAAAACAAAGGTAATAGATGCATTTTCCTAAAACCACTCTCTTTCTCTCCCATAAGGTTCCTTCTACCTTTTCTTTTTTCTTTCTTTTTTGAGATGGAGTCTCACTCTGTTGCCGCCCAGGCTGGAGGGCAGTAGTGTGATCTTGGCTCACTGCAACCTCCTCCTCCTAAGTTCAAGCGATTCTCCTGCCTCAGCCTCCTGAGTAGCTGGGATTACAGGCACATACCACTATGCCTGGTTAATTTTTGTATTTTTAGTAGAGACGGGGTTTCACCATGTTGGTCAGGCTGGTCTCGAACTCCTGACCCTGTGATTCACCCACCTTGGCCTCCCAAAGTGCTGGGATTATAGGCATGAGCCACCACGCCCAGCTCCTTCTGCCTTTTCATACACTGCTCCTGCAGACCGAAATACTCCCTGTCTTCTTCTACCTTCTAGTCATTCTTTTTTTTTTTTTTTTGAGGCAGAGTCTGACTCTGTTGCCCATGCTGGAGTCCAGTGGCTCAATCTCAGCTCACTGTCACCTCCATCTCCCAGGTTCAAGCGATTCTCTTGCCTTGGCCTCCCAGGTAGTTGGAATTACAGGCATGTGTCACCACACCTGGCTAATTTTTGTATTTTTAATAGAGACGGGGTTTCACCATGTCAGCCAAGCAGGTCTCAAACTCCTGACCGCAAGTGATCCGCCCACCTCGGCCTCCCAAAGTGCTGGGATTACAGGTATGAGCCACTGTGCCCAGACTACTCATTCTTAAAGTTGCTTTCCAAAAGTCATTTTTCTTTCTCAGCCATCTCATCTGCCACCCCTGGTTGAGAAATCTCATGGGATTTAATTTTTCCTTAATTAGATTTGTCAAAGTTTGTAATTATATATTTGAGCATCTATATGCTTCATGAGATAAAAGACCAGATCTTTTTGCTCACAATCATACCTCAAGCACCCAGCAAAACAGCACATACACATAAATTACAGTCAGTAAATTTTTGCTGAATATATTTTAAAAATGACCAAATCCTAAACTTTTTACTAGTCTGTTTCTAACTCTTGACTTACACCTATTTATTTCTGCATTTAATCCAAAATAAAAGGCTACAGACAGTTAAAAATACCTCATCCCAAAACTGGCTTAGACATTTTTTGGAACCCAGTTTCCAAATCTCACCAAAATGAACCATTTTAAAGCAAAATATTTAAGACAGTTAAAAAAAAAAAAAAAGCAGTTATGTTGTTTAATTATTTTAATAGTCATGATAATCCTCAATAAACATTTAATATCTATCCTAACTTTTAAGAAACATTGTAAACCATTGCACACTTGAAATTTTCATTCTTTAAATATTTTGGAAACTCTTACCTTGACATTTCCCGATAATGGATGTAAAATCATCTTTTGCAGACCTGTAAAACATGCAAAATCAAGGCAAAAGTTTTATCAGAACATTGTATAGAACCATAAAATACCAGATACTGTGGACTAGATAGTCTCTATATACAATGCTCAATCATTTCTCCACTCAGACATGGTTTTGTGGCTCAACTATGACCCTTTTGTCAGTGACAATATTTTCTTCCAACCTTCTTATTGCATCAGATACACAGCTACTTTGTATGGAGATATATACATGGAATATAGTGACACAGCCTAAGTGAATTTACCATGGTCTTTTCATACAATAGAGATGTCTGGTCCCCATCCCTAAAGGTTCTGAATCAAGAAAATCTGGGATGGGGCCCAAGCAAAAATATTTTTTTGCTGGATACATCAATCCTAATTAAGAACCACTGGTCTGTATCATATTACAAAGTTTGATCACTTAGGGGAAAAAAGTCGTATTTTAAGAAATCAAAGAGACTTAATACGTCACCATATTTAAATCAATAACCTGTTTTAAATCTGTGATCCTGAAATATATACCAAGTAGCATAATTATTATAAAACGTTTAAAAATGAAAACTGGTAAACCTTCTAGAAAATAATTTAATAACAATTATCCAAAACCCTCATGTCTGTAGCGTTTGACCTAACAATTCTATTTCTATAAAGTTATCCCCAGGAAATAATTACAGATACATATGAATATCAAAAAAACTGGTATGGTCTCATTTATAAAGAAGGAAAATAATATCCAGTATAAAGAGATTAAACTTCGCTATGTGCACTCAAGGAAATATGGAATTACTACAGTTGATCCTTGAACAACACAGGTTTCAACTGTGCAGGTCCATGTCTATGTGGATTTTCTTCTACCTCTACCACTCTGAGACAGCAAGACCACCTTCCCTTCTTCCTCCTCCTCCTCAGCCCACTCCATGTGAAGATGACAATAATGAAGACCTTTCTAACGGTCCACTTCCACTTAATGAATAGTAAATATATTCCTCTTCCACATGATTTTCCTAATAACATTTCCTAAAGAATGAACTCATTTTTCTTAGTTGCTATGGATATTTCTTTCATAACTGATACATTGTTTAAAAATAAAACACCTGAAAAGTCCAGTTTAGAGACGTCTTTAGATGTGTATATAATACCACTGAATGTCTCAAGAGGACAGACAGCATAATTGGTCTCAAGTAATACGTAACCTTGGTCTTTTGAACACCCATATTCAATCTACAGTTTTGTACCAACACAGCAAAACCATCCCTTTTTTTTTTTTTTTTTGAGATGGAGTCTCGCTCTGTCGCCAGGCTAGAGTGCAGTGGCACAATCTCTGCTCACTGCAACCAGTTCTCGGCTCACTGCCTCCCAGGTTCAAGCAATTCTCCTGCCTCAGCCTCCCGAATAGCTGGAACTACAGGTGCACGCCACCATGCCCAGCGAATTTTTGTAATTTTAGGAGAGTCAGGGTTTCACCATGTTGGCCAGGATGATCTCAATCTCTTGACCTTGTGATCCGCCCGCTGCAGCCTCCCAAAGTGCTGAACCATCCCTACTCTTTTACACCTTCCTGAGTGTCTGTTTAGCTGATGTAGCAGTAAATAGTCAAACAAAGTGATTTCCACAGTTCTGGAGGATAGGCCTCGTTTACCGAGAAAGTAAAATTTCTTAAGAGGCAACAGAATGATCTGGGGAAGGAGAAAGATAAGCATATAACTCTGAGAAAGCATCCTTAATTTTCCAACTGGCATAAGTTGGTGTTTGACACTCACAAAATTAAGTGAGTTAAAAATAAAATCCTTTTAAATATACCCCCTATAAAAATCTTAGTTTCCATTTACAGAGTAACAAACGTTTCTCAAAGGAAATCTTGAATATGAATAATATTAACAATTACCTGATTTCCACACACTGATCTTGAACAGCAGCCAAAAGCTTTCCATTGCTTTTATGGAGAAGAAAGAGGGGGAAGAAAATCTATTATCAATATCTGTAGCAGTTTTCAACACAGATGGAATTATTTAATAAGTTAAAAATCATTTCTAAATTTGTTCACATGCTTTAATTATCCATCTTTTGACCTTACAATTAGATGAGGATATAGGTACAAAAGCATACGAAATGATTTAATACAGCATGAATTAACATGTTTAAACAATACTAAATATTTGCAACAAAGAGATTTACATACAATAAAAAGACTGAAAGCCATGAGGATTCCAAAATTAACATCCATAATGAAATGTAAAAGCAAATCTAGATAGAAACACATATGAATTTTACATTTCCTTACCTTGCTAGTACCAAATGCCAGTTTATCTGTTTATTAATCAAGCGAACCAGTCCATCAGGGAGCAAAAAAGGTGCAGGGCTGAAATTACAACACATTAGTTAGCTTAAAATCTACTCATGAAAACCACATATAAGCAGACAAAGAGCACATATACTTACAGAGAGAGAGGGAGAGATTTTTTTTCCATTAGAATATAAAATTTGAATATTAGCAAATCCAAAACCAAAAGTTACTATTTGGTAGCTGAAATTTGACCATATATATTTCTCTATTTCCAAAAAACACAGTGGTGTGTTCAAAGGTATAGTTATGTACTTCCCAGGAAACAGACATCTAGCATACCAATGACAGAGCAGAGTACACTTACACCAACCCTTTCTGCTCTAACTACCTAGGAACTCTGGCTCAACTGTAACAAAAACAAATTTTAGCACCGAGTTAAACTCACAAGAAAGAAAGATAAATTTCCAAGTACTAGAAATGAAAAGGTCACTGAAAGCTAGAATTGGGCACAGGGTAAAGAGAGAGACAAGGACTCAAAACAGGACTTAGCACGCAGGCTAGGAAATGAGCCACTGAACCAAAGAGAGGACAGGAGTTGGAAGTGAGAATCCTGCAAAAGCAATGACTGCACCAGGTCACTGAAGGAACCAGAAACACTTCACCATAGGCCCAGGGAGACTACAGACTCTCTTCTTCCCTAGAACCGCGGTTCTGTGGAGGACCGGAATCAAATCTCCCATGAAAACGTGAAAGTCCAAGTCTGTACTACATGCAAGACCAGATTACAATTTCACTTTACTCACGTGACGGAAGAATCTGCAAGCGTAAGTTCAAAATAAAACCATTCACAAAAGACACGAAACTACCCACCATAAGTGAGTAAGCAGACACAGCAAATTAGAGGACTAATACCTGAAGAAATCAAGAAAACAGATGGAAAAGAAGAATAAAGAACATAATTCCATGAAAGAAAAATAGAAAAAAAATATATTATGGAAATCAGAAAAGACAAAATAGGATTTCAAAATGTTAGTGGCCAGGCGCGATGGTATATGCCTATAGTCTCAGCTACACGGGAGGCTGAGGCAGGAGGATTGCTTGAGCCCAGCAGTTTAAAGCTACAGTGTACCATGATCTTGCCTGTGAAGAGCCACTGTACTACAGCCTGACCAACACAATAAGACCCTCTCTTTAAAAAAAAAAAAAATATATATATATACATGTAGTACATTTATGCTCATTTTTTAAAACACAAAATAATATCAAAAGGCATAATGAAGATATGAAACATGTATGTGAATACTATCTATATGAGGATAATTTCCTCTGGAAGGGAAGGGAAAGGAAAAAGGTAAAGGACTTGAGATGTAACATTTTGCATAAAAAGAAAAAGAGCTAGTTGATACAGGTTTATTATATTGTCAATAATTCTCAGTATGTTTATATTTCATAATTAAAAGAAAAGAACTTTTTTAAAAAAATAAGAAAAAGGTACTTGAAACAAATATTGACCCCAGAACCTTTGGGTTTAATTACCATAAACTCGGGAGCACAAATGGAACAATAATCTTTTTGAAAGTAGCACATCATGAGACAGATTAATCACTTCATGGTGCATTTGCAACCTGTACAATGATCAACACAGCCAATTCAAGGACAAAGGCTTCTCAGGAGGAAGGGAGACAAAAAGATACCTTGTTTACTTATGACGCCTGATCATAAGATTCTCACACAGAGGATAGGGCTTGTATCAGAGTTAACTTTTTGAGTCTTCCTTCTCAATAAATAACAAAAAGAATTATCAAGCAGTAACCTGAACAAGACAAGCTTAACATCTTATCCAAGGGTGTTCGGGACTAACAAGTTGTCGCCTGGAGAGGTCAGAAAACACAGCCCACCTCCCATACTCCTATCCTCTCCTTCCACTCTCTCTTCCTACTCATTGCTCTATCCTATCATAGCCCACACCCATAAAAAAGTGATACAATTAAGTATAGAAATTGTAAATATGCATACATATACACATATATATACATATGTATGCACATACACACATACATAGAGTAAAAGCAGAAAGACATTGGAGCAAGTCCTAGAGAAGTGCCAAAGGTCTCTTCTACAGAACTATATTATCTCTGGAACTTTATGACAAGATATTCCCAGGGAAAAAGCAATCTATCTAAATAATTCTATAAAACAATTCCTACGCATGTATCTAAAAGCAGAATTATAACTTTTTTGTCATAATAATTATTTCTTTGTTCTTTCTAAAGCTGGAGATTAGCATCATGCCTGAAAATATACTTAGCACTCAAGGAATTAAAAAGTATACAAGAACTGAAACCTAAAGAACCTTCTCTGATACACAGCAGTTGAATATTAACCACAAGTGAGATGATGTGACAAGAACAAAAATGTTTTTTAAAAGGTATGCAAGCTACAGATGCTTCATATGGACATTCAAGACAAGCCTGAGAACAGTCATCAGAGGAAGCAGAAATTGTCATGAGACATTCTTAATAGCAACTAAGGGAACAAAAACTACCCTAAGTCTACTGAGATATCTTGTCGGATTATACTTAAATGTTTGAAATGTCTCATGCTGAGTTTGCCTGAATGTCAGCAACTTTCTCATGATCTAGAATTCATTTATGAAAACAAATCATATATAGAATAACATTGTTTATATTTGATGTTCACACTGCTTATCTGAAGAACCAAAACTCACCTGTACCAGATGTATTGGCGTAAAAATAATAAACGATCTGTAATTAAAAGAAATGGCAAAGCCAGTTATAAATCAGTTGTTCTTCAAGAATCATTTTCAAATTAGATTTATAGATGACAAACCTAAAATATACTACAGAGTGAGTCATTAAAAAAAAAACACAACTCTTAAAATGAGAGACTAAATATAACCTAATATACATTATAACATTTACAGGGTCATATATTTATTAAATTCCAAGTTTCTGTGTTATTCAAAAGTTTCAGGTATTTCCTAACTGTTCAAGAAATAAAAGTGGTTTGAGATGTTAAATTTAATCTAAGAAGCTTTCATGAAACCATGGACTAGAAGTTATAATAATCACCCCTTAAAAAACAAAATATTTGTATAAAAATTAAAACAAGATACTATTTTACACTTCATAGCAAAGATTTTAAAAATAATAATACCTAAAATGGGAAAGCCCATGGAAAACAAAACCTCTAACACGCTATGAAAAGACAATGCTTTCTATCATCCTATTTTAAATGTACACGTATGTGTGTACCTGTGTATGCAGTTAGGTATACATCAATGGAAAAAGAGCTAAAGAATAACAGATTCTCTCTAGGTAGTAAGACAAGGACAAATTTTTTTCTAATTTGTAGTTATCTATAGTGTCTATATTTTCTACAATGAATTTTTATTATTTGTACGCATTTTCTAAATTCTCAAAATTTAAAGCATTTGTCATTATGAAAACTGAATATGCTAGTGTTTCTTGTATCAGAAGATAAAATTAACTATAATTTTATCCGAAGATAAAAGTATAATCAGAAGATTATAGTTAATTTCAAGTACTTCTGTGAAAATGAATTTTCTCTTTATAACGAACTTAAATTCACTGGTATAAAAGGATGGACTTTGGAGCCAGAAAGACGTGCAGTCAAATTCCAAATGAATGACCTTGGGCAAGTTTTCTTATCTAAAAACGTAAAGGAGTAACGGCACCGACCCTTTCTGGTCTGATAAAAGGACTCTATCAATTAATATGGTAAACCTGTCATGGCACCAGCTCAGTAAACCTAGTGCTCAACCCTTTCTCAGACTCTTGTTAGTTCATACGTAAAATTTGTCAGGAGTTAAATGAATACCCTGGCTTACCAAATGTGTAATTTGAGTATCTCTGACCAGATGTATCTGAAACATCACATAAACCCCTTAAAAGAGTCTCTCAGGGCATTTTCACCTTCAACATCCACAGACTTTCTGAGACTCATACTGGCTTTGACCTTCATTCCTTCTAGAACAGCGGTCCCCAACCTTTTTGGCACCAGGGACTGGTTTTGTGGAAGACAATTTTTCCACGCACCCTAGATCCCTCACACGTGCAGTTCACAATAGGGTTCGCACTTCCGTGATAATCTAATGCTGCCGCTTATCTGACAGGAAGTGGAGCTCAGGTGGTAATGCTCACTCACCCATCGCTCACCTCCTGCTGTGCAGCCTGGTTCCTAACAGACCACAGACTGGTACCAGTCCACGGCCCAGGAACTGGGGACACCTGTTCTAGAATACACCCATAATGGTTAAACCAAGGCTATATACTTTAAGCTGCATTAAAAATGTGCATGTGTAAATATACAAATGTATACATATACATACATATGTGTGTCTACATAAATATATATAATTAAACTCAGATAACACGTCACTTTTATTAGTCTCCACACCAGAAGTCTAAAGAACACATTTTAACTGTTAACCATATCATTACTGTAGAGAAATAAGCTATATTTACCTCGAATTGCTTTCGTGATGATAAAGGATGCACCATGCTTTCGGTTGCCTCTAGGCTGGAATTTAAAACAAAGCCCTTACATTTGAATCCTCTAGTATTAGACTAGTATTGCTTATACAATGTAAACTTATTTTTATTTACTATTCAGAGTTTTGGGCACAGGGAAGCAGTGTCTTAAAACTACTTAAAGATTGAATGCGCAGGTGCAGTGGCTCACGCTTGTAATCCCAGCACTTTGGGACGCCAAAGTGGGCCAACTGCTTGAGCCCAGGAACTCCAGACCAGCTTGAGCAACACGGCAAAACCTCGTCTCTACAAAAAATACAAAAATTAGCCAGGCATGACGGTGCGTACCTATAGTCCCAGCTACTTGGGAAGCTGAGGTGACCTGGGAGGTTGAAGCTACAGTGAGCCCTGATCATGCCACTGCACTCCAGCCTGGGTGACAGAGTGAGACCCTGTCTCAAAAAAAAAGAAAAAGGTAGACTCAGGATGGGGGACAATAGGAGTAAAGGGAGCATAGCAGAGCTACAGGCACATGTCAGGACTAACCTTGCAGGTAAGAACAAAGATTGAAGCTAGAAACTGTTTCCAAATCAAATACCAATCCAAAGACAAGAGAAGTCAAGGCCAAAGACCACACTGGTTGCCAATTCAGCACACTCTATTGAAGCTGTAAGTTTTGCTCACAGGAAAAGTGGTCATATCTCCAAGGCAAATTCATTGACTATCTATTGTATATCCATCCAGACAATGCTACTAACAAAACATACAGCGATACGTAATTTCTATATTAAATAATTCCATTCCATAAGTATAGACTGAACACACTGTAGGTAGGTTCATGACACTAGGCACTGCATAAGGTGCACTAAAGTGCTGTCAAGAAAAGCACAATGGACACACAGTAAGTGTAGACAGATTTTTTAAAAAACACAGAAAAGTTATTTCACTCAACAAACAAGAATTGATGGTGGGATTCATGCAAGGCACAATTTGGCCCTGGGGAGAGATATAAAGATGAATCAGATGTAGCTGCCCTCCAAGAGCTTATAGTTCAACAGCTGAAATCAATAGAATGGAGAAATCGATAGAATGCAGAAATCAATAGAATGCAGAAATCAATAGAATTCCCCCACCCCCAACACATAAACACAAAACAAAGTGCTAAGGGTTTCAAAGTAAGTTAATTCTGTGGTTACTTTTTTGGAATCAATTTATGCTAAGCATTCTGAAACATTACTGCAATTAACCAATGAGTGTTAAGGAGTGGAAACTTATCTAACCAGCTGCCGCAGCAACAGCTTCCTAGCTGCATAACCCAAAAAATATTCACATTAAGACAAATTAAGCACTTGAAATTAAACGGCAAAACATGCAGATCTCTACCCGTTCTACAAAATACATTATTCAAAATAAGCACAAACTGCAGTGGGAAGGAGGCTACAGGGGAAAAAAATACAAACTGTAGGCTGAAAAATGAGTCGTTTCTCCAGCAAAGAAACACTCATAAAAAAATGTAAGATAACTCATATGGGCTGGACTACATAATCTTTAATAAAGGTTCTTTTCGATCTGGCTGCTTCCTCTGGGTCCAAAACAGTAACTGGTACGTGTTAAGCACTCAATAAATATCTATTAAATAAACATGGATCCGTGGTTCCTACTCTTCACCACAGACCCGGGAGGCCTTCACTACCAAATAACTGATAATCCCAAGATCCAGTCTATAAATTATCAACCTCTATAATCCTTCTCTAGCGGAGACCCCAATCCCCGTCAGCAGTTCTTTACCCTTCACTTCCGTGGCATTTTGCTCACATCGCTAACTATAGCGCATAAAACGCTAGATTATGAATAACGTTTACAGGATTGTCTCCCCTCTAGAGGAGAAGCTCCACGAAAGCATATTTATCTCTGTATCCTCAGCACCTAGCACAGCATCTGGGACACTGAGACGGACGAACGGACACGCACACCCTTATTAAATGCTCTTTTATTGATACACACAAGAACTGGCGCGATCCAGCCCCAGGTAGCTGTAAAGGCTCAGATTCCGCACTCTGCAGCAGCCTGCCAGATGCTGAAGACTGTAAGGTCCTGGAAAATTCTCACACCGTTAAGCGTCCGCCCGTACTAGCCCTAGCCAGACTGCGAGAAGGGACCACCGAGAGTCCAGGTAGGAGAAAGGACCCTTTAGTCCAGCGCTGTGCCTTCCCCTCCGAATACAGAGAGTGAAACTAACAATCTGCACCCCTCCGAAAACAGAGAGAAACTAACAACCAGAGTGGGATCCTACGCTCCGCAGAACACGAAGTTCCAGCCCCCAAAAACCGAATTCTGAGCCCAGGAGGAATCTCAGGGACCACGACCCCACCCCGCCTTAGGAGCCCCAGACCCCCGGTAGCCCAAGGTGCCGTTGCCAGGGCGACCACACAAGCCATCAGGCCCCCCGCCCACCCGGCTTCACTTCTGCTACGTGGCTCCTGCTACGTGGCTCTGCCCACGAAGCGCCCGCGTCAAGTTGGCTGCTGCTGTAGACGGGCCTGGTTCACCTGTACTTCAGTCTCCGGTGGCCACTCGGTGTTGACCAACAAGTCATAGAGAATCGTCTCCTCCTCACCCTCTGCAGCGCCTGGACTCAAAGCCGGCCCTGACTCGGGGGCCGCCATGTTCGCCCGGGACTCAAGCAGTGGAGGAGTGCCTCTACGGAATCCCTCACAGGACAAGCTTCCCTAGCCGCGGCCGCTTTTGATTCACGGGGAAGGGAGTGGAGTGAACTGACCCTGACCGCGGCAAGGAAATGCTAGGTTAACCCTTTTATGAGTAGGAAGGACAGGGACTATTGCTTGTCTTGGGAACGACTTGTGTCCCGGTCCTGGTGCGTTCCTTGTTAATTAATCTACGTGAGATCAGCCAAGTCACTGAGCCTGTCTTATCAAGTAAGTTTCTATAAAACAGAAACGGTAAAGGTACCCCACTGAAATGCTAATGTTCATTTGTGTATTCTTTGCCTAGCACGTAGAGAGAGTTCAAACAGTGGTTTTAAAATAAGCCACCAAAGTTATCCAATGCAGGGGATCAAGCCAATGAAAGGTAACAGAGGAAGGATGCTACAGGCGCTCAGAAAAGGCAATGAAGGCCAGAGTCTGCAGGGATTTCCTGGAGGACGTGGAGCTTGTCCCTAGGTCTTTAACAACTGGCAGAATGTTAATCCACTGGAGAAGCATTTCAAGTAGGGGAAAATGGGATGAGCAGAGACAGAGGCAAAAGTACAGAGTTGAAAGAACTCTTTCAACGTGTCGCGAGTGAGCGACGACTTTCTGGGTGTGGGAGTAAAAGAATTTACCAAGACAGTAGTAGATAAAAAAAGACAGATTAAAGAAAGTATGAAAGTTCGTTGCCAGGGAACAGTGGGCAGAATCAGCAGAGGAGGAGCTCATTGCTAGGAAACAAAGGCTTGTTGAGAATTTTATAGACTGGAACTTGGAGTGATTGATAACACCAAGTTAGCAGGGAGTTAATTTGCTTTTTTTTCCTTTTTTTTTTTTTTTGTCAACCGAAGTGTTTGATAGAGGCGTTTGAAGGTAAGCAGGAAGTTTGTGAGTTAAGTACGTTATCTGGTTAGAAGAGCCATATGTCTTGGGCCATAAAGAAAAGTAGACCTATGGCTTATTTGTTTCTTCCTTTTGTTTATATGTTTTGGACCATGAAGAAAGGCAGATGTATAGCTTATGCTTCCTTGCCTTATCTCTTTTTTTTTTCCTGCTCCCACGAGCCTGCCTTTTTTTTTTTTTTTCTTTTCCTAATTAGTACTCAACAAGACAGGTGAATAGAACCCAAGTTGAGAAAGGGTGTAGGGGCAATAAAGTTTAAATAATAGGTTGAGAACCTGCATGGAGGGAGCGAAAAGGTCAACCCCATTTGTTCATTCATTCATTCATTCCACAAATACCTCTTTGTGGACAGTTATAAGCAGAGCCTATTGTAACATGAATGAATATATACTGTACAAAGTATTACACTGTTTCACATCAAAAGAAACAAATATTGAATATCCCTTGAGATAATTATATTTCATAATATCCATCAAGATGCATTAGGCCGTGATGCAATTAAAAGCCTCTGCTGGGAAGCCTCTAACCAGCTCCCATTTCTCTCAAAGTTTAATGACCTCAAAGCCCTACATCATCTGCCTGCTCCCCTAAATCTCACAGCTCATTTCCTGCTCCCCCTACTACCTTCAACCACACTGGCTCTAATTCTGAACACACCAGACACATATCAACTTTAGGAGTTCTGCAAAGCCTGTCCTCTCCACTTGGAAGGCTTTCTACCAGATGTTTACCCAGTTCCTGCCTTATCTCCTTCAAGTTTTTGCAAAAATGTCATCTTCTCTCTGAAGCCTACCTTGACTGCTCATTTTTAAATTTTGCAATGACCTTTCTCCAACTCCAGCTTTCCAGAGCTGCTCAATTATTTTTTCCATTACACTTCTCATCATTTAAACTGCTATACAATGTATTTGCTTATTATCTGTCTCCATTCACTAAAAGGTAAGCCATGCCAGGTGCTCTATGTATATACATACAAATGCTATGTCCATCCCTGCTATATCCCCAGAATTTATAACAGTGCCTGGCATAGAGCAGAGGACAAAATATATATTATTTGTCGAATAAATGACAGACTTCCCAGAAAACCTCTTTTACACATTGTCTCCCCATAGTATTTCTCTGCACAGCAGCTGTGCCTTTCAATCAAACCCCTCATTGTGAACACCAGACATGTCTTCTCCCTACCCCTCAAGGCTGACAAATTATACACCTCCAGGGAGCCCTGCCCACATTGCATGCGGTAGAACATGAAGAGGTAGGAACACCATGCATGTGATGTGAGGGCTGGTTGCGGGAGTCCTCCAGTACGTCAGTACAACCCCTACCTATTTCTCCACACCAAGTTTCCTTGGCTCTTTACTCCTCTTCCCTATCTCATCCTTTCTCAGGTAGATATTGGGGTTGCTTTCTGTTTCATCACTCTCTTCACCACTTTCACTCAATCTGTACAATCACGGCCAGGAGGTAGCTGGTCAAACTGGCAAAGGATGCTTCCTTCTTAGCTGGTGTGCAAAGGGGACCACTGCAAATACACTATAAAGATTTTATATCTTTTACCATCATCACACTATTGTTGTTTGTTTGGTTTTGTTTTTGAAACAGGGTCTCACTCTTTCACCGAGACTGGAATGCAATGGCACAAAGAGAGCTCACTGAAACCTCCACTTCCTGGGCTCAAGCAATCCTCCCACCTCAGCCTCCTGAGTTGCTGGGACCACAGATGCTTGCCACCATGCTGGGCTAACTTTATTATTTTTTGTAGAGATGGGGGGTTTCAGACTCCTGGGCTCAAGTGATCTGCCTCGGCCTCCCAAAGTGCATGGTGGGCACACACCACCATGCCCAGCTTCACACTATGTTAATTGTTTTATCCATCCTCATCCATACCCCACTTACCATAGCATGTGCAATAGGACAGAAAACATAAAGTCATGCCTGGCAGAGAGCTTCTACTCTGAAGAAACAACAACCGAAGTTTCACAGGATGAATCTATGCTATTTGGAGAGGGAGTATACATTTAACTTGCAGCAATCCCTGAAAGAAAAATTCTACTAGCAGAGATGCTCTGAGCAGATGAGTGGGTTGTTAAACCTTCAGCACCACTAGTTAAAATCCAGAAGAGTTCCTGGAAGGGGAGAAATGTGAGGTGACCAATAAAAGGGAAGAAGGTGGCAAGAATGTGTATGTCACGAGAACTCCAAATGTTTAATATCAGATACAGGTTGGAAAAGAAAAGGCAAAGAACTGATCAAGTTCAACTGAATCAAAGGAATAGGATGACTTAAAACAGATTGAGTGGCTGAAGACAAATTGCTACTTGGTCTTATTTACAGTGACTGGATAGCAAATTGTCCAAACTGGGATACTTTTGAAAATAAAAAGCCATGATTTTAATAGTTATGCTAGGACAAGGCATGAAACAGGACTGTTGTGGGCAAATTGAGAGATTGCCACACTAATCCTAAACAGGAGAGTGGGTAATTGAATGAAGAGGTGGTGAGCATTTCATAAGGATAGCAAGACTCTTCTGTTTGTCATTATTCTCTTCTCCTTTCCTCCCTCATGCTTGTAGTGACACTGGTCATTTTTGTCTGCCCAGGCCCTTTGCTTCCTTTGGAGACTGCTCTAACTGCTCTTTGTTCACTCAAGTCAGATAATTCCTAGTGGGACCGCCAATCCCCAAACTCTGCCCAGTTGACCCAAAGAACTCCATTCTTGTTACTTTGGGATTTTTTTTTTTTTTTAAAGATGGAAATGGAGGAAAAGGCTCCTTGCCTTTTTGGGTCACAGATTTAAAGAATATTGGGGTTATTAGCATCCATCTTATTCACTACAGAGAGAAAGCCTGTCTGCACAGTGAGAGAATGAAACCAATACATTGAAAAAAACAGAGAAGAGAAAGAGGTAGAGACTTCATCTGATACAAGCACGCCTGAAACAAGAGATACCTGTATGATTCCATCTTCCCAAGTAAGTGATCTAATTCATTCTCTTTTATGCTTCAACTAGTTTGAGTTTCTAGGCATCAAAACCACTCCTCTCTTGGTGTTTCTACTAGTGGATTTTGAAGATTTACCTCATTTATTTATGTATTTATTTAAGGCAGGCTCATGCTCTGTCACCCAGGCTGGAGTGCAGTGGTGCAAACACAGCTCACTCTAGCCTTGACTTCCTGGATGCAAGTGATCCTCCTGCCTCAGCCTCCCAAATAGCTGGGACTACATGCATGTGTCACCACACCCAGCTAAAGATTTACCGAATTTAGAATCTGTATGTCATGTATGGATCTCTGCAATGTTGCTTCTGAATTGACAGGTCGGTGTTCTTAGTTAATAATTGATAGTGTTCATGGCTTACTGAGCTCTTCCGTCCTCACAGCCACTGCTGAAACTGACAGACTCAGAAAACAGAGTTGATCTCTATTTCACAAATAAGAATATCAAAGCTTAGAGAAATCCAAGATCATAACAGAGCTAAAATTCAAACAAGATCCTCAGGTCTTGATCCTGTGCTTTTTCTTTAAACTACCACATGTCACTGATAACTGCATGGAAAAGGATTATTAAAAAACACAGATGGAGCACTTAGATGGTTGAAAGTGAAAATAAACAGTTATGGATGACCAGGAGTACTAACATGTGGAACTGGGGTATTATCAACCTGTCAACCTGTCAAAATTAAATACATTATATGTAAGGGTTTGGTTGACAAATACTATTATGATCATCTAATCAACTCCTTAATTTAGTTGAGAAAGTCCATCTCTGGTTCAAAAATATTTGAAATCATGAATAAGTCTTTTTTTTTCTTTTAAATGTTTGGAGAGAAAGAGTCTTGCTATGTTGCCCAGACTGGTCTTGAACTCCTGGCCTCAAGTGAGCCTCACACCTCTCAGCCTCCCAAAGTGCTGATATTGCAGGTGTGAGCCACTGCACCCAGCCTCTTTTCTCTCTATCTTAGTTTCTTTTTTATGAATAAATCATTCTGAAAAGAAAAATTATGTTTTCCAAATAACCAATGTAAATGGTAACTGTAAACTGCTTAAGGAAATAAGATCAATAAAATCTGAGACAGTTTCAAAATACGCATCGTCATCATTATCATCATCACTATGTTTTGTGTACCTACCCTGCTTCAAGCACTGTACCAGGTACTTTATTATACCTTACCTCTACTCTTCTCTACAATGCTGTAAGGAAAGTGTTAATATCTGTATCTACAAGTAGATATAGATGTACTTTAGTAAACTGAGGCTCTAAATCATTGTGACCCAACCAAGGTCACATGCTGGTAATGGTAAAGCCACAAATGAAATAGTTTTTGTCTAACAGAGAAGGTACTATGATTTAAAGAGTAGTGATCTGATGATGATATAAGCCTTTGATGAAAAGGAAAAAAATTTAGAAAAATTTTCCTATTTCTTCTTAGCCTCATAGCATATCAAGTGTGCTTCAACTGAACTGAATATAATCCTCATTCACTTTGCTGATGACCACAGACATTCTATCTTAGAATTAGACAAAAATTACTTAACATCATCTCACATGAAGGAATCATTTTTTGGCCAGGCATGGTGGCTCACGCTTGTAATCCCAGCACTTTGGCAGACCGAGGCAGGCAGATTACCTGAGGTCAGGAGTTCGAGACCAGCCTGGCCAACATGGTGAAACCCCATCTCTACTAAAAAAAAAATACAAAATTAGCCAGACGTGGTGGCACGTGTCTGCAATCCCAGCTATTCGGGAGGCTGAGGCAGGAGAATTGCTTGAGCCTGGGAGACAGAGGTTGCAGTGAGCCGAGATCATGCCACTGCACTCCAGCCTGGCTGACAGAGCAAGACTCTGTCTCAAAGAAAAAAAAAAAAAAAAAAGGAATCATTTCTCTTCTCTTAACTCGTCAATGTATAGCTGTCATTAGCTCACAGATTCATTTAGTAGGAGCTCAGCCTTTTAGCTCCTATCAGTTAAAAAGTCCATTAAGCTAAAAGCCATTAATGATTCAGCATTTAACCCTTTTATGTTTTTCAATAATAGAGACAAAAGAGATTAGATCATCATATGAAGTTGTTTCTATTTTAAAGTTGAAATTGCATAATAAAATTGAATTTGGGCATTTAAACGCTACCTGTTATAGGTGTCATACATTTGTATTTGATTGGATGGTGCACTAGCTCTTTATGAAGAATATAAATTTTAATCATAATATAAAATAACACTGAGAGCAATTCAAGAAATTTTATTTCCTCTAGAAAGCCTGCAGAATCCCAATCAATCCTTTCACAAATATTCTAAGACTTTTATAATATATCTTGGCAGCCAAAATAGATATAAAGCTCATGCATGGTTTTAGCAAAGACAGAATCTCCAGCCCCTTACTGAAATCTCCTTTACACTCATTAGCAATGCAATTCAAACAGACCATTTTCTCCCCCCATTCTTCTCACTCACAAATTATACAGAATATCAAACTGGGAAATATGCCCTACCAGAGCACATACAGTAACAAATGCAAAAATCAGCAGCAAGTAAGTGCAAGAAGTGGGCTAATACATTGGTAAAAATACATTGGTAGGCTGGGCATGGTGGCTCATGTAATCCCAGCTGTAATCCCAGCACTTTGGGAGGCCAAGGCGGGCAGATCACCTGAAGTCAGGAGTTCGAGACCAGCCTGCCCAACATGGCGAAACCCCATCCCTACTAAAAATACAAAAATTAGCCAGGTGTGTTGGCGGGTGCATGTAATCCCAGCTACTTGGGAAGCTAAGACAGGAGAATTGCTTGAACCCAGGAGGTGGAGGTTGCATTGAGCCGAGATTGCACCACTGCACTCCAACCTTGGTGACAAGAGCGAAACTCCACCTCATAAAAAGAAAAAAATACATTGGTAAATTGATCAATTATTGACTTAAAAGTAAAAATAGCTTTTTAGTTTTATTTGGTTTAAAAGCAAAGGTAAACTATCTGTAATATACTTTGAAGTGCGTCAGAAGTGCATCAGAAAATAGATGGATTAATGGATAGGTGGAAGATAAATAAACAAATGGAAAGATGTGATAAAGCAAGTATAGTAAAATACTAATGATATCTCATTGGTGGGTACATGGGTGTTCATGGTAAAATTATTTCAACTATGCTATATGTGAAAACTTTCATAATAACATATTGGGGGGAAAAGGTAAATTTACAATTTCAAAAAGCACAAACAAGGGATAGAAAGAATTACAACATATATCTTCCAAAACATAAAATAGAATAAAGGACATTAAGAAAACTGTCAATTTGAGACAGGGAAGGACAGAATAAATAAACAAATATAAACCACGATAAAGAGAAATTTCTCCCATTGGAATAAGGTGATGCAATAATCATTAAGCTAATACAACACTCACATATCCATCCATGTATACCCCTCCCATACACACACTTCTCTCTTCCAACCTCCCCTTTTCTTATAAAGAGTAATTTCAGAAGTTTAGAGTATAACTTTCCCCCACTCCCTTCATTTGTTTGAATCACTTATGGAAAGTTCTGTCCTAACCTGGGCAACATAGCTAGACTCTGTCTCTTAAAAAATTGTTTTAATTAGCCAGAAATTTGCCAGATGTGGTGGCTCACACCTGTAGTCCCAGCTACTTGGGAGGCTGACATGAGAGGATCACTTGAGCCCAGGAGGTTGAGGCTGCTATGAGCTATGATCATGTCACTACACTCCAGCCTGGCTGACAAAGACCACAGCTCTAAAAAAAAAAAAAAAAGAAAGAAAAGAAAAGAAAAGAGAAAATTCTCAGTTTTTACCTATTCACATGTCACCTGTACACCATTCACTTTAGACAGATAATGGGACATTGTATCCTCTGTACATCTCAGCCTCCCTCACACTTTATACCTCATTGTCTTTCTGTTTTGTATCAGTGTAGTTTCTTCTGATCTCAGTTCCAATGCACACACTCACTTTTAAGCTTTCTCTGCTTAATCTTTCCATCAAGTTTTTTAACATCAATTATTATATTTTTTATTTCTAGAAGTTATTTCTTTAAAACTCAAGGCTGCCGGTCATTTTGTTACTTTCTTTTTCTCTCTGTTAAGTCCTACTTTTAGGAACACATCAAACATAATTAATATTCTCTACCTGATATTTCTAATACCTGAAGCCTTCGAGTATCTATTTTTTTTCTGCTGACTCTTGATCATGGTGGCTTCTTTCTTTATGGGGTGTGTGTATATGTGCGTGTGTGTGTGTGTGTGTGTGTGTGTGTGTGTGTGTGTGTCTTATTGTTTGCTCAGATACTCTGGAATTTGAGTTCTGAGGATTCTTTGAGGCCTCAGATGGAGGGTGCCTTCACCCTGAAAAGACTTGCCTTCATTTCTGCAAAGCACCCGGAAGACTTGGGTCCAATTTAAATTAAAGTTTGTTTGTTTCACATGATACAAATAGTGTAAATTCAGGCTTCAAACTTACAAGAGTGTCAGGCTGTGGCAACAAATTCTTAAAGGAGACTTTTATATCCACTCAGATTCCAGGCTGAAAAGACAAATTTATTTGCTCTCTGCCTCATTTTTATGGGATTGAAAAAAATTGTAGCTCTTCATGGGTGCTAACTTTATTAAGAGTGACCAGAGATCTCACTCCCATTACACAAGCCCAAGCCTCCCCATCCCACTTCCACTATTTTTGCCCTGCAATCAAAGCTCTGGACATCCAGATCCATAAAGATCCCTAAAGTGTCAGTTCTCCCTTCTTCCATGGATTCCCACACCTGTTGCTAGGACTCAGATATCTTCTACTTTCTTACAAACTCATTCATTCATTTTAAAAATTGTGTTTTTATTTCTATACTAGCTAGCACTCTTGTTTGTGGGAGTCTTTTAGGATGTCTTCTCTGACAAACTGACTAAATGAAACCCTCTGAACTTAGCAGAGGGAAACAAAAAGGGGGAAGGCATTCCCCACTGCTTTGATACAAACAGCCA